GAGACCTGTGTTTGGGCAAAAAATTGTGTATCTAGAACAACTACAAATATATAAAAAATTTAAACCAAAGTTGAAAATTGTTTCTATTCACCCCGTTTTACGGTAGGTAACATGTGTCTCTAGAATTTGTAAATTGTGATTTGAAACTGCCGAAAATAAACAGTTCTTCAACTTAGATACTTGGATTAATACCCATATTACAAAAAAAACCGACGTAATACAGCAACAATTCACAGCTGATAATGAACCCTTAAAAATATTCGACAAAATTACATATCTTGGATGCAGCCTAAATAAGGAATGGGACCACTCACAGGAAATAAAATGTCGTATAGAAAAGGTGAGAGCTGTCTTCAATCGCCTCCTATCCTTCAATCGAAGATTTTATGTAATATGCACCTTAACATTGATATAAGAACACGAGTCTTGAGATGCTATGTATTTTCTACCCTTTTATATAGAGTTGAAGCCTGGACCTTGACGGAGGTAACATCCAAACGATTAGAATCGTTCGAGATTTGGTGCTATAGGCCATTCCACGAATATACGACTGTTTTGGTTTACTGCGACAACGAATATTTTACTGTGCAAGTAGGAAGTATGAAGGTCAATTGGTCTAATTATTATTCCAATAAAAAGGGTCTACTAGTATGACATCTAAACTAAAATTATTTCAGTTAAAATCTACAAATAAATACAATGACGTCTATGAAGCCAAATGTGTTCATCAGACATTTGGGTAAGCTTTCCGTGAAATGTAAACACCAAAGAGGCGTGCCGGGTTTCTTTGATATAACACATTTTATTATAATACTTTATTAGGTATTACAACTGTAATAAAAAGAAATATACTATTTTTAATATAAATGAAAAGAAATTGGCAGAACGATGCGATGATTCACAAACCAGAAAAAGGATCTAATATTTCACTTTGTTAGTTTTAAATATTTGTTTACTTTGAGTTTATGTACTCCTTAAAGTTCCGAAAGTAACGGGTATAACATACCGGCTATTGATAGTTAAAGTACCTAGTCGTTACGGATATTAAAAAGTAACGAAAATTTATATACAGTTTCATATATCGCCGACTGATTATGGCTGTGAATCTGATCGTTGATGATAGTTTTAGAAGATTAAGAGAATAAGTGAATAAGTAAGTTTTTTTGTTTTTTTAATATTAATTGAATATTCGACTAAAAAATTTACACTATTTGATCACTTAAGTATTGTTACATTTCGTTTAAATCGCATAATTCAAAAACCAACTTGTTTACAATGAAATGATTGAAATGAAAAAATAAACTCCATGATAGTAATTATATACTTCAAAATCTGAATTACAACTGTTTTATAAACTATTAACTTTATATTTATATCATGACTTCATATTATTTAAATCTAAGGTTTATATCTGTCGTAACAGTATTTTAAAAATGGGGAGAATTTACTATAGTACAATTCAGTACATTGGACCATTTAAATCGACACCTTAAAGCCAATTTAAAACAGTCGTATATTCGTGGAATGGAGTATACCGCTGCATGCTCAGAATTTCCTATATCCATCATGTTACAAAACAACACCGTGAATCACGGGCGTTATATAAAGTATTCGGATAAATAACACTATTACCAACAAGTATTCGTTTTCTCAATAATAGGTTACAGTAAACCGCCTATTACTTTTGTCACACTATTACTTTTGTCATAGTGTGACTATAACGTTGGTATTCGAATCGGTATTCGATATGTTGATGTCACAACATCGAACGATGGGAATCGTTCTCTCAATCGGTAACAGGATAGGATGATCACTGTCACCGAATTGATGATGAGCTTTATCTTTTGCTACTTAAATAGCTGGGAATACCACCATAAGCACGTACGATTATTAAGACGGAGACTATGTTTATATGATTTCTAATTTATAGTATTATAGTAGTTGAATCATCTATTTTTAAGCCTCTGTCAGATGTATATGTTTAATGTTTATTTTTAACAATCATCAAATGTATGTATAGATAGATAGAATGTTTATCACTCACGGTTGAAACAAAAATAAACTATAAACAGTAGAAAGTATTCCTTTATTGAAAAAGATATTATAATTACTACAAGCAACTTTAGCAAGCCAAGCTGAATGGAGCTGCTTGCAGCTTGGGTAATAGGTGACAAAAGTAATAGGTTACCGGAACCTATTACCTGTCTGTCACCGGAACGATGGAACCTATTATTACAAAGTAACTGTATTTTCCATGGCTAACCGTGATCCAACGTATGAATAAAGATCTGGAAATTATGTGTATCGTGAAAAACAGAAAGATGACATACTTAGGGCATGTGATGCGCAATGAGAAGTATTAACTAATTCAACTAATTTTACAAAGCAAGATAGAAGACATAAGATCTCAAGATCGCAGAAGGCCATCGTGGTTGAAGAACATCAGGCAGTGAGCAGGAATGACTACCATACATCTATTTAGAGCAGCTATCAACAAAGTTATATGCACCAACGTGATTATTAACATCCACAGAGGATAGGCATCAAAAGAAGAAGAAGACCTACTTACAAAGAGAACCAAAGTTTACAACTTAAGTCACACTTTAGACTGTTATCGTTAATATTTATTTAAAGTTTCTCGTCTAAGACACATTCTGAAAACTATTTTATAGCTACTGTTAATAAGTGTCGGAAAATTTAAATTTGGCACATTCGCATTTCCGGATATGTCCGGCATCAGAGGATACTTTTTTGGTCTCCTTTTCATAACTATTAGATTTCCCTCTTTTTTAGAAACGGCAGTAAACAGTTTGACTAATTGATAAATAATTGATAATACAATTCCATGTATAGTTGGTTGCATACTTTACTGGTAGAATTATGTTATTTTAATCTCTAAGTAACGATAAAATAATCTTATCGTTACAAAGTTTAATTTATTATTTGGATATCCAAAAAGTGATACATGTAATATATGTGACGGTAGTGAATGTAACGCAGGACATAAAGAAAACTACACGGCAGCAACTAAAGCTCTCGAAAGTGACAAGGAAAAAACAAAACCTTCCGAAAACTTGGTCTATTATGCAATATATATGCAACACGTCCAAAACATTTTGCCTTGGAAAAATGTGGTTTTACAATTTTGGGGTGCACATTACTGCAAAAGGCGTAGATAAAGCATATATACTCAGATATATTGAAGTTGACGAAATTATCAGCAAAAAGGATTATTTTATCATCTGGTCTGATTCATGTGCGGGCCAAAATAAGAACTTCCGCATGATTTGCCTTTATTAGTATATTATTTTAAAGGGATACTTATTATTGACTACAAATTTCCTGAGATTGGCCATACTTACTTAGACTGTGACTTCCAAATCAGAGATTTGGAAGAATATAGCTTTTACGAACGAAAACACGACGCAGTATATGTACCAGATACGTACCGGGAAATAATTTCAAAGGCTACCCGAAAAAATAAAGTTATTGATATGACTCAACATTTCAGAAGGATTGCTGATCTACTTTAAAAACTTTTTGATATGATTACTATAGTTTATAAAAATAACCAATTAAATTATTTTTTAATGTAACCCAAACCCAAACTTTGGCTAAGGTACGTGGATGATACTTTTATAATCTGAACACATGGAGAAGAAAAACTAAAGTTATTTTTAGAAGACATCAATAATATACTCCAGTTTACTATGCAACTGGTAGAAAACGAACAGCTACCATTTTTAGATGTGTTAATAATAAAGACACACATAGGACACACAGCATACCGAAAACCCACATACCGACCGATACCTACATATCGATAAACATCATCATCCTATACAATTACATTCGGTCATTAAAACCCTGATGACACAATCCGAAAGACTGACAGCGTGAAAACAGCGCTAAGAAAAAACTGCTTTTAAACATATACCATCGAAAATGCTCATAATGCTCAAAAAAGAACTAAGGATTCAACAGAAGAGGAAAAACCGATTGCAAAAGCAATTCTACCATATGTAAAGGGTACAACAGAGAAAATAGGAAGAGTTCTAAGAAAACACAAAATAGAAACGATATTTAGTACCGACAGAAAAATCTCAACCATTTTACCATCCGCCAAAAAAAATATCGTTACAAAATCAAGTATACGAGATTCCATGTGGGGACTGTGACAAATCGTACATTGGACAGACCAACCAAAGAATCAATGTTAGACGAAAAGAACATCGAAATGCTATCGAAAAGAGAGAAAAAACATCGTCTTTTGCCCAACATGTCTCAAACACAGGACATACAATAAATCTGAACCAAACTACGATGCTAGCTAACAGGCTGTAGGTAGGCGGGGTCGTACCTACTCTGATCTTTATGTTCTTTTTTTAATCCTTCTCTGAAGGTGAATTGATCCCTATGCACTAAGCGGCATTTGGGTCAAATCGATGCACTTTTTTTAGATATACATCTACAGAAAAGTTCTTCAAAATTAAATTTCTCATTGAAATGTCACGTTTAAAGTCAAAAATAATTATTTTAACAAAAATATATTCAAGAAACGAAGCAAGAAAAACACATAAAAAGCGATTTTTTTTGTCCCATAACTTTTTTCCAAAATGGTATAGGTATAGGATTCACAGTATCCGAGATACAATTTTTAAAGTTTATCAGTCACACCGTTTTTGGACCAATTTCAATTACCTTTAAAATGGCCTATTGTACAAGGTTCTAGGACTAATTTTAAGCAAGATATGGATCTTACAAGTTTTCTACTTTTAACGATTTTTGTTAACTTTTACAGCTAGTTTTTAAATTTCTCAGTCTAATCATTGTTAGTACAATTAGGATTTAGCATTACTAAATAAAAAAGAAATCTTATTTTCTGTACTTAGTGTATTACTCTGTGTAATAGTGTATTGATAAGGTCACAACTATACAAGTTATATAAAAATAAAATTTATTTACAAATAAAAATATTTCTGAAATAAAAAATTTATAAATTACATCTCAAACAGCAGTTTCAAATCTTCTATAGACAGCTTATTCCTAGCAGCTTGTACTGTGCCCGTTAACATTGCGCTTGCAATTCCTAATTTTTTTTCTTGCAAATCTAAAATTCTCTTTTCTATAGTATCTGCTGCCATAACTTTATAGACAAATACTGGTTTTTCTTGGCCTACCCTGTATATCCTATCCTGCGCTTGATTTTCTAACTGTGGGTTCCAATGCAAATCAAGTAAGATTAAATGGTTAGCTCCAACTAAGTTCAAACCTACACCTCCCGCTGTTAGCGATAATAGCATTATACGCAAGTCATCCTTTGGATTGTTGAGTCTAAAAATTACGAATACTTCAATTATTTGTCAAATATCATTTAAACACAACACATAAAATTACATACTATACTAGAAAAAATCATATTTTAAGCTTCTTTAAAGTACATGTCCAGATGTTTGTTTTACATTTTTTAGCTTTAATTTAAGAACCTGATCGTCACATTTAAGTACAATAATTCAAAACACATCCATAAATATTTCACCGTTATTTTTGCACAATAAATATTTTTCTACGTCCTTAATTTTGCACATACTTCGCTGATATTATATAAAGTGAACTTTGGAGTTTTACATTCGTCCACATCACTATTGTCAGAATTATCTTTTTTATTATTATCTCACAGTTCTCCAACAATGTCAACTCAAACAATACTTAAGTTAAGGTTCTCTGTAGGTATATCACTGTCAATGGAAGCAAATTTATCCAAATCTAAAATTTCGTTACGGACTGTAAGAAAGAGATAGGTAAGGGGTATATTGTTCTCTTCAACAAAATGTGTATCTTCTTGCATAAGATCAGAAAAGCCGGCTTTAAAAAACATTTCATAACTGTACCAGGAAATACTGTTTTCCAAGCAGCTGTAATCTAGATAAATGGATTGGATAAATTTGTGTTTTTTTCGCAATTCGAAGTCCCATCTACTGTAAATAAACGCTACAGTCTTTTAATGAAAAAATTTCGGTATAGTAAACGCCGCATAGGTAGATACAACCTCGCACATGTGGCGTGTGCCGACTGTATCCGAAGAAGAGGACAGTGGCGTGATTATACTTTTTATATTATTAACGGCACCGAACGGTTAACGCCGCGCTACCGACAGAGTGGATAATATGCAAACAATTCGCTCGGATCGAATCGGTACGAAAATAAGGATTTGCGCTGGATCTTCGTAACTGGCGCCTACTGTAAACCAATTTGCAATTCTAAATTATTTCTTGATCGAAGGCTGGCAATAAAACAGATAATGGAAAAATGCTGGGAGTTTGATGCAGGAACTTGGCTTAAATAAATAAACAATGGACTAAAACAGGGACATGCACTTTCACCAAAACTCTTCAACTTAGCTCTGGAGCACATAATCAGAAGTGCAAGAATCGATCGATATAGATCTAATAGGAAACACACGATTAAGGATGAAGGATACTTTCGTGAGGTTCTAGAAGGAAGCAGAGAAGATGGGGCTAAAAATCAACGAAAACAAGACGAAATATATGTATATGAGCCGCAATAACCAAAGCAGAGACAGAATCGGTCAGAACATCACCATCGATGACTTTAACTTTAAGGTCGTTAGAGAATTCAAGTATCTTGGAACAACAATAATGGAAGACAATAACGGATCACAAGAAATAAACAACAGGATTCAGGACGGTAACAGATGTCTTTTTGCTCTCCAAAACCTTATAAAATCGTAACAAGACGTAGCAAGATACAGGTCTATAAAACAATCATACGACCCGTTGTGATGTATGTAAGCGAAACGTGGACTATAACAAAGGCAAACGAAGAGAGACTATGTGTTTGGGAAAGAAAAATCCTAAGGAAGATCTTTGGTCCTGTGCTGGATGAAGCATCAGGACAATATAGGATCTCTCTCTCTTCAATCCTGACCCCAGGGGAAGTGTAGTGGTTGACGTGATGTCGTGTATTGTCCGTCTCCAGAGATCTCTGTCTCTGGTCATTTCTTTTAATTTATGCATAGGTCTTTGGCATATTCCTGTAATTTGATCTATCCATCTTGTTGGGGATCTTCCTCGTGATCTTCGGCCTTCTACCTTTCCTTGTATTATGATTCTTTCCATGTTTTCTGTGTTTGCTCTCATAACATGCCCAAAATATTTTAATTGTTGGAGATGGACTTTACTAGAGAGTCGTTGGTTAACTTTTAGCTCTCTTAAAATTGAATTATTTGTTCTACGGTCGGTCCAAGGAATTCACATCCGTAGGTCAGTATTGGGAATATTAAGCAGTTGATCAACCTCATCTTTATCGCTCTTGAAATTTGACAGTCCTTCCATATTTTGGTCATTTTTGTTGTGGCAACTTTTGCTAGATCGCATCTACGTTTAATCTCGTCTTGTAATGACCCTGTGTTCGTGATTAATGATCCCAGATATAAGTATGAGCTCACAACCTCGAACCGGTCAATTGTGGTTATGTGTGGATGATTGTTGTGTAGTCTATCCACTATCATGATCTTTGGCTTTGATATGTTTAATTGCAGACCAAATATTTGACTTTCGTTTTCGATCAGTCGTATAAGTTCCATCAGCTCTGCTTGACTATTTGCAAGAAGGGCTGTGTCATCTGCGAAACGTAGGTTGTTTAGTTTATGACCATTTATTGAGATGCCCTTTTCCCATCCTTCAAGTGCTCTTCGCATAATATACTCCCCATATATGTTGAATAATTATGGAGATAGTATACATCCTTGTCTGACACCCCGTTCTGGATGAAACTCGTTCGAAAGTATGTCAAGTACTTTAACTGATCCAGTAGTATGTTCATATAGTTCAGTTATATGCGTAATTAGATGTTGTGGTACGCCTACTTCTTTTAGTATTCGCCATAAGTGTCTCCACTTGACCCTGTCGAACGCTTTACGGTAATCTATAAAACAGATGTATAGTGGGACGTTGAATTCCCTAGATTTCTCGATTATCTGTCTTATATTCAGCAGGTGTTCTCGAGTGCCTCTACCTTTGGTAAATCCAGTTTGCTCTTGTGGAATTTCTCTTTGAAGGAATGTTTTCAGTCTCTCATTGATTATATGTAGCATTATCTTGCTGGCATGGTATATAAGAGAGATAGTTCTATAATTGTCGCATTTATGGAAGCTGCCTTTTTTATGTATGGTCGTTATTGTGGATGTTGTCCAATCTTCAGGCCATTGTTTGGAATGCCATATTTGGTTACAGAGTAGATGAAGTAACTTTAAGCCGGTCTCTTCTGTGGCTCTAAGCATTTCTGCTGTTATCATATCTGGACCTGGTGCTTTGTTATATTTGAGCTTGTTGATAGCCTGTTTTACTTCATTTTCGAGTATATCAGGTTCTTCTTCCACCTCGTCAGAGATTTTGCTAACAAGCTCTTGGCGTTGATCATCTTTATATAGGTCCCTGCAATACGATCTCCATGTCTCTGGTATGTCTTCTCTGTTTGTTCTAAGGGTTCCAGTGTTATCTTCAATGGCCCAAGTTCTGGCTCTGAAGTCTCTTGTCAGGTAGCGTATTTTTCTAAATAGATCTCTCGGCTGATTATTCTGACCATGTCTCTCAATTTCTTTGCATATACTTTGATAGTACTGTTTTTTGTCGGCCTAACATCTTCGTTTTATTTCTTTATTGAGGTTTCTTAAACTAGCTTTTTCCCTTTCACTATGTACACCAATTTTACAAAGATTTCTTCTATTCTCAATTACTTTAAGAGTTTCATCTGTTATCCAGTGTTTCCGTTTCACCGGATTATTTTTCTTTGAGCGATCCACTGGTGTTGTTACGCAGTGTTTAACAGTCTCCTATATTTCTTGTGATGTTCCGTTACGAATAGAGGGCATACTTTTCTGTACTTCCTGTAGAAGGTCGGCTTTCTGTCTTAGTTCTATCCTCTTTATCTCTCTTTGTTTGTTGAGTGCTTTAAGTTTAAGCATTACTTTAGCTACGAGGAGAGTATGATCGGATCCGCATATCGCCCCTGGATATGATCTGACTGTTTGAATGGACGATCTCCAGCGAATATTGGTGAGGACGTAATCTATTTGATTTCTAAATTTATCTTATATACTTTTCCAAGTATAAAGTCGACGTACATGGTGTTTAAATCGAGTATTCATGATAGAGTAGTTGTTTGTGATAGCAAATTCGATTAAACGGTCTCCTCTTTCGTTTCTCTGCCCTATGCCAAAGTTTGGCATAGGGCAATATAGGATAAGAACTAACAAAGAGCTCGAAGAACTTTACCCAGACGCCAAAATCATAAAAGAAATAAAGTCCAGAAGACTCCAATGGGCAGGACACCTCAGAAGACATTCTGACGAACGAACAATAGAACAAGAACGAACAAGAATAGAAATGAAGTTTTAAGGTGTATGAATAGAGAACGTGAGCTCACAGATATTGTCAAGAAGCGTAAAACGTCTTATCTTGGACACATATTTAGACCCGACAGGTATAACTTCCTTCAGCTTATTATAGAAGGGAAAATAGAAGGCAGACGAGGCCCGGGTAGACGCCAAATGACCTAGCTGCGCAACATCAAATATTGGACAGGATTAGACTTTCAAGGTTTAATAAGGAAAGTCCAAAATAGACTTTGCAGAGGTTATCGCCAAATTTCGTTAAGAAGACGGCACCCAAATAAGAAGAAGAAGAAGAAGAACAATAAGACCGGTGTGGGAGGAAGTCCCAACTGGAAGGATACCACGCGCACGTCCTCGTCTCCGGTGGCGAGATAATATAGCAGGAGACCTAAGCACTATGGGCGTGGAGAATTGGATGGAGGTTGCTCAAGACAGAAAACAGCATGTTTTCGAGTCGGTTAAAACCCACGGAGTAAAGTAAAGAGTAAAGAAGGCTGGCAATATGAACTGGTGTAGGGTTACAGAAAGACTATTTTAACATTTTCTAATGGAACTTTGGAATGTGACGTGGCGTTATCCAGAAAAAGAAGCACTTTTTTGTTTTTTCATTTTATTGCCAAATGTATGCTGCCATTTTGTCATAATTTCTGTTGTCATCTAAGCCTTTTTGTTAGAAACTCATTCGAAGGCTAATTTCAAATAGTTAAACGTTGTTTTGTTATGTTGTTCCATGTACATTTTTCATTTTTTGTAAATGTCTGTTAGGCACGGCTCGGTAATAAAGCTCTGTTCCGTCAACATTTTTTACATCTCGTGGAGAATAATTCCTTGATATCAATAGTACCTTGGTTTTCCAGTCGTCTAATATGATGCCTAAATATTTATTTAAACTCCATCACTGGTTCTATTATCTGACCTTCCAGCTCCAATTTACATATTTACAATTTAGAGCTACTGGACTTTTAAGAGGCAATAGAACAAAAAATGTCCCCTATTAAATGCTAAACAATTGAAAAAAAAAACAAGACAGAAGTTATTTTGAACGTCAATATCCTCTTCTTCTTCTTCTTATTGTATGTAGACATGACAGTTTCATTCATGTCTGCTTATTATTTATTGTTTCATTCAGGCAACCTATGGCTGAGGTCCGAAAACGCAACAGCGGAAAAATAACAAATGATGAAGGCAATCTTGCCATAACCAAAGAAGATAAAAAGAAAGTATAGAAAGAATACTTGGAGAAACTTTTCCACGACCTTAGAATAATACAAGAACCCACCATTGAAGAAAATTTAGGTCCCTAAATCCTACCAGAAGAAATAACGGCAGCCGTCAGACAAATTAAGGATGGAAAGGCACCGGGACTTGATGAAATTCCTGCAGAACTGCTGAAGCTATTAGATGCAGAACAAAAAAAATAATAACTGAAATATTTAATGAAATATACAAGGCAGGAAAAATATCAATAGAGTGGCTCAAATCGGAGTTTGTCCCATTGCCCAAAAAACCAGGAGCAAAAGTTGTGAAGATTATAGGACCATTAGCCTAATGAGCTATCTGCTGAAGCTGTTTTTAAAAGTCACCCACAACAGAATTTACCGGAAATGTGAGGAACTATTTGCGCCCATCCAGTTTGGATTTGTGAACGTCGTTGGTACGAGGGAAGATTTATTTAACGTACAGGTATTGTTTTAGAAATATATAGATGTCAGCTGTGATGTTTTTGTATGCCTGATTAACTACAAGAAGGCTTTCGATAGATTCAGGCATGAACAAATGATGGAAGTGCTGAAGAGTACAGGGATTGGAGGACGAGACCTAAAAATAATAGCTAACCTATATTGAAATCAATCAGCGGCGCTCCCGAATAGATGGAGAATATTTGTACTGAATCTGTACTTGGAGCACATTTTTGAAGATGCTCTAAAAGATATTGATGAAGGCATCTCAATAAATGGAGTTAAGCTCAATAACCTGTGGTATGCAGTGTTTTCCAATACCATAGGACTGTAAAACTTAATGAACAAAAACAAGTAAAACGTATGTACTGGATATAAACACCAGCAAAACCAAGCTAATGATCATCAGCAAGGAAAACATAACTGCAGCAAATCTGTATGCGAACCAAATGAGAATTGAACGTGTCTTAAAGTACAACTACTTGGGAACTATAATCAATGAGTCGTGGGACAATACCCAAGAGATTAAATCTTATTCACACAATGAATGATAGCTTTAAATTATTGACTATTATTGATGGAACTGTTTGTAATTATTTTATCCGTATAAACTAATTGTAATTTTATGGCCAACTAGGAAAAAACTAGTTTTTCGAAAAAGTGATAAGGCAAAAAAGTTTTAAAAATAATGTGTTAATCTAATGATGCCACAAAATTCATTTAATTTGAACGTACTCAAAAGTTTGAGAGGATTTCAAGCTGACATCCCCTTAAAATTTTTCTGTGTGCTTAGATTTTGTTGTTTCTTTTGTATGAAAAATGATTTCAGAACAAGAAAGTAACGTGTCCATTTTTATTACAAAATGTCAAGTAGTTTAGGAGATAATGAAAAAAAAACCATTTTTATTTTGTAACTTCAAAGGGCTGTAACTTTTTTTGTGTGAACTTTTATACTAAGGTAAGTTGGATTCAATCAATTTATTTTTGTCCCCGGAATGCGTGATTTAATTTATGACATACCTTTTTGAAACACCCTGTATATAACAGTAGCATGAAAAAAATTATTATCAAATTTTATATACTTGTACTAGTGGCCCACTTCATTTGATGAGTAGTGTAGTTAAGAAAATTATAAATAAAAATGATAGAAATAAAGAAAACGATTATATGCAAATAAATTAAAATCTCACTTGTTCGTTTTGAAAAGGTATCTCATGAAAATAAAAAAAAAAGTTTACATACTTGTTAACCATCTCCATTCTCTTGATAACAGGAACGCTTCCGTCTAATTGGTCATATTTGATGTTAAGTTTCTTTAGATGGTATGCTATGAGTTTTAAAAATGAGGGCCACTGTGAGACTATGATAGCTTTATCGTCATTTTCGAGAACTCTTTCGGTTAAAAGTTTTATAACTGCTTGTATTTTACTACTGCTCCTTGTTTTCGAAAAGACTGGATCTGAAGGAGATAGTACATTATTTACGACCTGTTTTAGTGTAGTGGCTTCTTCGCTAAGACCTTCAGCTACTTCTGACATACCAGGCTGTTCTGTATCATCTATGGCTAATCTAAAAATTATCACTAACGTATTAATTACTAAGTTATAGTTATGTATATTGTTATGATATGTAAAATCAAGAAAATATCGGTTTGTTTAAAAATATTTCAAAGTTCAAATAATTAAAATAATTCAGATAAGTCGAATTAATAAACGACAAACATTTCGAAGAATGAAAGTCCTTTTATCTTTGGACTACCTATATTGAACAAAACGTAAGCTATGCATAAATTATTTTCTTTGTTAAAATATATTTAAGTGACGTGAGCGAACTTAAGACAATTGAACCGGGTTTTCCAAATACATTAGTGCAGTGATTAGGACAATAGAATAGATTTTAGAAAGATATGTTTTTGTTAGTTCTTAGGAATTGGTAGGAAAAGATTATTTTGTAAATTAGTTTTAGGAAATTTTATAATTGTAGGTAAAACTTTGTGTGTTATCGAAATGAAGAAATGGGAGATATATGAAGCATTTTGATTGGATGAGATTGAAAAAGGTGGGATGATTGGTTTAAGAATAAGACTTTAGTTAGTTTTTGAAACAAAAAAGATAGTCAGTTGGTTTCCAAGGGTGCAAGGCGAACGGCCGTTGTTCTCGGGTAGTTTCCCAGAGGTAGGAAGCAGTAGCAGTGAAAGTTTGTGAGTTTTCGTGTAGTTAGAGTATCTGACAGAAGCTGAAGCAGCAAAATATTGTAAGTCATATTTTTCTACTTATATTCCAAGAGTCACTGTTCAGGCCAACGAGGAGATTCAGTTTATCGTAAAGAGAAGATATTCCAAGAGTCATTTTTCACTCAGGCCAACGAGAGATTCAGTTTATTGAGAGAAGAAGCTAGCATAATTTGAACGATTCGTGCATTTGAAGGAGATCATTAAGGACGATAAACTTGCAATAATTTGTTGTAAGATTGCTGATTACCTAGGGAGCGGCTACGAGTAGATAGTATAGTCTACAAGGAACAAGGATTTGGACCACTCATCATCAGAGAGAGATAGTTTTGTTTTTCTGCAGTTTTTCTTGTATTGATAACACAATTTTTACATTTACTTTAGAAAAGATATAAATATTTTGATTAGGAGATTTAGAATAATAATTGGGATTTTGAGTTTTTAACTAATATTGTTTGTACGATTAAATTTGAAGGTTCATGTACGTAGAACAAAAATTTTGAGAATGATTATATGAGATTTTGTTTATTGAAAACTTTTGAGTGTGAATTTTATTTCATTATTTTATTTCAATATATAATGTTAGATCCTATATGTTTTTTATTATTCCGGTATTCTTTGGACCTTACCTTTCACATGTAATAGCATAGATATTGAAGCACGAATAGAACCCTGAGATAAGAGAATTATAAAGTGTGATAGAATCATAGTCATATCATTTAAATAATTTTTATTTATTAATTAATTAATTAACTAATTAATTGATTGGCGCACTAAGACTTTAAATATCTCAATTAATATATATATATATATATATATATATATATATATATATATATATATTATATTGATGTTTTATATAAAGTGGAATGAGGTACTCTGAGATCATTTATCAACGAAATATTCGTGATCAGCGACGTCTCGAAAACCCCCAAGTAATAACTGTCGACTGATTTAGAATGAAAATAACATGAAAATCCAGACGTTGTCACCTGGGCACTGAAAACCACTGATTAATGACTTTACTTGAAACTATTTCATCCCAATTTTTGGAACCAGATAGGATAAAGAAACAAACACAAATGGCCTAAAAGCGATCTAAGATTTAAGTGCCTCTTTCTGAGTTTAAAATTAAAAATATGGAGAGAATGAGCGGAGAGACGAACTCACTTGGAGAGAATAAGCGGAGAGACGAACTCCCTCCAGAGTATGTCTCTTTGGCCGAAGTACCGCAGAACTTACTATTTTTATGAGAACATTCGACTTAGCCCTGACAAATGAGTCCCGAATATATCAACTGACAGGTATATCGATTATTAACGGTGATCTTATATACAGCAAATCTAGTAAAGTTCCCAAGACTTTATGAGTATACTAATGGAATATGTACCATAAACTAATTTGTAGCTATGATATAGAATAAAATAATAAAAATAATTTGTATGAAACAAAAATACAAAGACAAATATTGTACACTTATAGAAAGAAAATAGAATATATATATAGAACCCCCACCTAGGCCACGTCACCATCGACGGTATAAATGAACCGTCCCCTGGTCCCAGTCGTAGTAGTGGTAGTGATAGTGAAAAGAACAGTGACAAGTGTAGTAGTGTCTGGGGGCTTGGGAGACTGAGACCTCGGAAGCCCTGAAGAAGACATCAGAGAGGATGTCGAAAGCTCGGCCCAATGGATATCGAGGCGGTTCAACCTGGAAGACTGGTTAGTTTAATATTAATTTTTGTAAGTATTAATCTTAGCTCTTGGTTTCATTTTACTAACCGCGGAATTTATATATATATATATATATATATATATATATATATATATATATATATATATATATATATATATATATACATATATATATCTTAAAATCTTAATTTAAAAATACTAGCTTACTTGCTAAGTTGGTCCAATAGATCTAGAGCTCCTTCTCTATCATGTGCATTTTCTTCATCACCTTCCAACTCTAGACCTTCTTCAAGCATTCCAGTTATAAGAGAGGGATGATTGCAAATTGTCTCAACCGGAGCAATAATACAAGAATCTCGTGTTGTTTTATATCTTTAAGTTTATTAAGCCTTAACAATTTCTGCCTCATTAAAAAGTATTCTTTATTTGGTCCGTTTGGATCTTCTAAATTGCCTAATTGATAATCCCTCGCATCTTGATTCTTTTCTGCCCTTTGATGTAGAAATTGTGCAAATAAGGTACGAGAAAATATAAGGATTTTGCTGTAAACATCTCTCTCACTTTTGGTTAAATCAACTGATATAAGTTCCCATTTCCTTTCGGGCATAGTATTTAAAAGACCATTTTCAATTAATTCGGGCTTAGTTCTTCTTAACATCAGGGAAGAGATAACCTAAAAGTTAAACAAAATTAGTAGATATTTATAATAATAGTATATAATCGAGGAAATGATGCAATGAAGCTTCGAAAATAGGCGTAGTAAGATGGATTAGATGCAGTTTGGTGCATTCGATTTGTGAGAGCGTTAGGAAATTTTTTGAACTAATGCAATCATAAAGAAATGAAAAATTTGTTCATATGAAAAATGCAATTCCAAAGTACATACAAAATGAAAAATTATCTAAGAAAATATCGAGAGGAATGAGTTTAATCTTGTTACTCGGTAGTTTTCGAGGTCGCTATACACGAATATGATAACGACGATGATTCTCGAGCTACCTAAAGCCCAGTGTGGACCTCGTCTCCGGTGTTTTAGGTTATTGTTATTCGACATCAGCCAAAAGTCGGTACTTAAGGGTTTTTGGAGCTAGGGGTTGAGGGTATGACGGAATTGATCTCCAAGGTATCTGGTTTCCAGCATATATTAAAAAAACTTCGGGAGACAAGATCATTTTGAGCATCAGATACCTTGGAGATCATTGCCGTAGTAATATTCGTATTCGACAAGTCCAAAAACCCTCGAAAAATGACTTTTGACTAATACAACTCCACGAGACGAACTCCGCCCTCATCCAGGTAACTCGAGAACCATTGGCGTCACAATATGTGTATTCAGCAATCTCGAAAACCCCCGAGTAATGACTTTTTACAAAACCCGTGGATAAGGAGATGCCACGTTTTTTTTAAGCTGTCAGTTCCACTACAGTCGTACTGCAATCAATTGACTTATTGTAAATTTTCTATAACTCCTCGGTACTTCAGCACACCTTTTACATATAAGCTTTCTGCAAATACCTTATGGAGCTTTTATTTGGCCGTGATATAATCAAGACGACATCTAACCCTCTCATAGCAACAGTAATTTCTAGGAAAGTTACCTTACTATACTGAAAGTTCCAACAGGACCTTGACTGAGATCATTGAGATCTATTTGGGATATATTTGGTGCTCGCCTCTCTGCTCGTTCCCTCTACATGTTCAATTATGGATTCAGAAAAGTCACTAATTTCTGAGTCCTCTTCTGAGACATCTCTATCTGTGTCGTGTATGTTTTATTCCCACGACATGGAACGAAATTTCAAGGCTAGAATCCCCCAGAGTCCAGGAGATCGCTTAGGTAAGACTTTTCTCCTTGTAACATGAATATTGGTATGATGGAGTTATACCCCGAGATTGAGTGAGTCCTACTACATGTGCTGATTGAACATAGTGTAGATTTGCATGTGTATTTTGTATGTGGGAGTATGCGTCATGTTCAATCAACAAATCTACAGTTAATGATACAGCTGTAGCTGTCATGACAGTACACAATTACTAACGATTAGTAGACATTAAAAAGACCGTTCAAATGACGTATTGAAGACTCATAACCATAACGTCAAAAATAAATGTGGCAAATGGGAGTAAATATACCTACTATGATACTGCCGCTCATCGTACAGAGTGTGTATGGATAGGAATTACTTTGATGCACAAGTAATACCGACCAAAATAGTCAGAAGGACGTAAACATCGTTTTATACAACATATGCTTGAATACTGGGGAAAAAACACTAAAAAGAATTGATTCACGTTGCATCGCCTTCCTATCAGGAAGAATTCGCCAATAATAACAATTTCATAACATCATTATCGTATTACATAGAATTATATAAAAATACCAATTCTTACCGTGTGTAACCGTTCTGTTCCTCCTGTACTCCTATCTCCAACCCATCTCTTCCAAACTGGTAAATCATCGAAAGGTGTACACCTTAAAAACTTTAACAAAGCATACATATCTAATTCTTTGTTGTGAACGGGTGTTCCAGTCAATGCCCATCTAGATTTTGCTGACAATCTACAAACAGCATCAGACGTCTGAGATTTGTGATTTCTGATTTGATGAGCTTCATCTATAATAATACGTCTCCATTTTACTTTGAAGACGGCACCGTTTTTTTCACATTCGTTATTGACTATACTGTAAGTTGTAACAACCATATCGTGTTTTGCTAATCTTTTTGCTTTCTTTTCACGCTTGGCGCCGTGGTAAAGTTCACAAGATGCTAGTCCTCTTTTTGTTCTTATTTCTAATTCCCTGGACCATTGGCTTAAAAGACTAGCAGGACATACAACTAAGGTACCTCCATTATACTTTTTAACTTGTTCCCCTTCTTCTTCGTTTTCATCGTCGTCGTCATGTTTTTCAATCTCGTTGCATTTTAACATTAGAGAAATCATTGTAAGAGTCTTTCCCAGTCCCATATCATCAGCTAATATACCTCCCGATGGCCTTTGTTTTTCACGCCACATAAGCCAAGAAAGTGCACGACGTTGATGGGGCATAAGTTCTACAGTCAATCCTTTAGGGGGATCTGCATGATCACTTTCCTTGGGACATGTTTTTAAAGATCCATGCAGTTGTTGCAGTCTATCGATTGTCAATGCTTTCTGAGCATTATATGTTGACATAGCTTTTTTACCAAAGGTATTTGGTTGAACCTTTCCGGCACCTGTTTCGATATCATTCCATGAAAGAGTTTTGGGTGGAGTATTGGACTTTGTTATTTGAACTTCATCTTCTTGATCTTGTTGAGGAACCTTCATTTTAGACAGCGTGTCGTCTTCTTCTTTTAGTTTTCTTTTTAAAGTCTGATATCTATCCATTAAAGACCGACCCTTATCCGGCAAATGTTCCATATTAAGATTCTCCAAAAGTTGCTCAGCTTGTTCAAGATCCTGTCGTAGTTTCCTTACCATTTGCCTTTGTACTTGATATTGTAGAGGAGAAACCTAAAATAAAAAAACTAAGGTGGTTTATTGGGTTAGCAGCTGAATATTAAAAGCCAAAGTGTACTCTTATCAACGATATAGTTATAGTTCGTTACATTTCTCTAACATCTTCAGACGAAAGTTGTGTGAGGATGCAGCAAAAAGTTGTGAAAAAAAGTCTTGAGGTGTTCATTGCAGTGAAAAGGAAAAATGGACAAAAATCCTGTGTAGACCTTTTTTCAAAATTATACACCACCCAGGCAATTAAGTGTATATATCGAATGTGGCATTTCAAAATTATCTATTTAATTAAAAAACATTTATGGGCAAACAGTTATTAAAATACACATATTAGGACGAACACATTGGGCAGTTCTCATTATTGAAGCCACATGGTCAATCTCATTGAAGGAAAGAAGGAATATGGAGACACGAGAAAATGCCAAAAGAGTGAAATAAGAGTATCATCTGCCCAATCAATAAAAAGGGCGAAAAGCTCCTCTGTCAAAACTAGGAAAATCTCCTTTATCTCAGTATTTTCACCTACACTGTCTTCGATGGGCAGACCATGTATTTAGAATTGAAGAAAACAAGCTTCCGAAAAAACCGTTGAATGCAGGGGAAGAGACCTATTAGAAGGCCGAAAAAGCGATGGGAGGATGATGTGGACGAGGACGCTAGAAATCTCATTGGCAGTCGATTGTGGAAAAGTATGCTTCTGACCGTAACGTATGGAGAGGTTTGATGAGGGAGGCCAGACACGATATTTTTATATATAATGATTATATATATATATATATATATATATATATATATATATATATATATATATATGAGAAATACTGGATATTAGTGACTGTCGATATGAACAAACAACACAGTTTGTTAGGGAAGAAGTCAGAAAATTCGCCGGGATGTTAAAAAAACTCTTTTGACTTTTTGTCTAGCTTTCGGAATGGTTTTATTCCTTTTTCAAGACACTGTAATAAGACAAATATGTAAATATTTAAAAAATATCACAATTCTTCAGTGTAACTTACTAGTCATTGAGATTGATAACACACATTAAAATATAAAATCATCGACAAAATACATTCTAAAATTTTTAAAATTTGGGTAAAGATAGTAAAACTTAGTTTATGGCATCTTTTACTGGTATGTTTTAACTCTTATGCATAGAGAACAGAAAGTAAAAATCCTATAATTAACATGTAATTAGGCGTACTTGATTTGTCTTTCTTTTCAAGAAATACTAGAGGCCCCGCTTGGATGATTATACTTTTTAATTTTTAAACCTGTCTTAATGGTATGCAACATATTATACATACAGGTGTAATTTATGTACAGGTAAATATTTATTTTATTTTTAATGTTTTTCTAGTAAATAACAATAAATGTTACTCAGACTCATAATCTATGTCAGACTTTTTATTGATGCAAAATGTACTGGATTTTATGAACCACATTTCCACATTTTAAAATTAGTTACAATCTTACAGGGTGTTCCATAAGATGATGGGAGACCAAACTTATGTTTTTTTAAATGGAACACCCTGTATTTTATTTTAAATTACAAATTGTGGAAGAGAAGCAAATTGAAATTTGCTTCTCTTCCACATCACAACAATGTAAAGTTTTATTATGTTATACCAGGTATTTAAAAAGTTATAACCAATATTACCTGAAAATCGTATCAAGTTTAACTCCCTGTATAATTAAAAAGAAGTATAGGAAGATTGATCTATTGTAACCATAGTTTTTTAATAAATGTTAAAAATTATAAAAATATTTGTTCTTGGTAATTTTAAATAGAACAACCTGTATTTTATATCACTATCGAAAAATACTAATATCGTACTTCAAATTTTATGAAGTACTCCCTATACATAAAGTTATCAGTTTTCTAGATATTTTTATTTTTCCATCAAAGTATTAATTTGGTAGATATTTTAACGTTACCAATAATTTTTGTGAGTTATATATATATATATATATATATATATATATATATATATATATATATATATATATATATATATGTATATATATATATATATATATATATATATATATATATTTGCCTCCCAGAATCATGTTATTTACGAACAGCTCAAATATTTCATGAAAGGCATCGAGACAAAAAGGTAAGAAAAGTGTACGAAATCAGTGCAAAATAAAAAAAAAAGGGATGCCACAAGATTATTGAATGAAGGATGCCAAATTGAGGTCCTTGTAAATTTTGCCATAGAGCCTACTCCATTAACACGCCAAGTCTGCAATGGCAGGACTTTCACGTGAGTCGGTTAGAAAAGTGTTGAAATTACATAATTTTTACCAGTACAAAACACAAATTCTTCAAGAGCGAGGCGATGATGATCCAGACCAACGAATTGAGTTTTATGGACTCATAACTGAAACAATTCGCGTTGTACCGAGAATGTTAAAAAATATTTGTTTTACTGATGAATGTACTTTTATGCTGAATGGTAATGTAAATAAACAAAACTTTTGGAACTGGAGTGATGCGAACCCGCATCGATTAAGAGAAGGTATTGCTTCACCCTGTATAATTATTATGTATACAATTTGATAGAATTTTTTTATAGTATTTTCAATGGTGTATCACAAGTAGGGGTTTGCAATTTAAACTTGCGGGGGTTTTGGTGGTTGGGGCCTAGGGGGTTGATGGGGGTGAGTTCTCTTTTGTGTCAATTTAGTTCCCCTTACTATCCTAGAAACAGTTTCAAGCATTTTTCGATATCTTGTCCGTGAGATATAACCCATTGTAAGTTTTAAAATTAACACACTGTATTAACAAAACAGCATAAAATCTAGTTTTCAGGTGTTTTATTTAAACTTAATTCAACGACACCCATGAGGAACTGGAATCTTTCATAGGTGTCAACATGGTATGATAATCAAAAAAATGTATTCACCATTATATTGGGAATCTTAGAATTATATTGATTAAATAACCAAAAACATTTGTTATTATTAATAATATAAATTTGATGAAATAACTCTTTAAGTGTAATATTCTACAAAATAATAATTGTAATTAAATAGATTAGACAATTGTATGCAACTGATACGGGAATACTTCAAATTTTAATGATAGTTCAGCGTGTGGCAAAATTGTTTAAAGTGTTGACCGGTTCTTTAGAGAAAGAATGTTGTTTATGTTTTGATTTCTCACACAATTTGATCATAATATTATATATTATTAAATTGTATTTATAAATATATATTAAATTAAGATTAATAGCTTTAAAAACTAAGGATTGTTGTGTATTGTGATATGCCAAAACAACTAAATAGTCTGTAGAAAGCTGATAAGCTTTCATATAAGATAGATCATTTTGAACAAGAAATAATGGCGGGACGTTTTTACTATTAATGCTCTAAAAGAGGTAAGTTTAAAATTTAGAATATATAATTTTGTATTAAACTATTTTCTTATGTATTTTAGTGTGTTGAAGTAGTCTTAAAACTACGTGTATTTACTGTTATAACAGATTGACAAATAGTTGACATTTTAAAAATTCCTCACTTACTATTCTGATTTTTGGCAACGCGGTGGGGTTCTGACGTCGTAAATCTTGAATAACATGCAATCATTTTTATATGAAAAATACTATAGGTTTCCGTGAAAAAATTGGTCAGATAGTATTAAAAAAATAAAAGATGTATTAACAAAAAACGAAGGATTTCAAAAGATGAAGAAAATATTTTTAATTTTAGATGTAAAACACGTTGAAGATATAAATGTGGATCCGGCAGTAGAGGCAAAGTATAAGTATGCACCGATAACCAGTGTGGACGTTGAAAGACGCCTTAAGATGTATAAATATGGTTTCAGTAAGAGACGCCGAAATTTTACGATGAAACATTTAAATGAGTATTTAGTAATTTCACGCTATAAACAATAATGGCTACAGCTAATAACATCTATCATGGCTACACCTTTGAAAGTGAAGACTACTGATCATGTATATCGGAGTGCAAGATCTGGCAAGGGAGGAATAACAACACAGAACCTCGGGGCCTCCCAGGTCATTAGCAAGCGAAACCCCCAAGTTAAAGGAAAGGATGCGCCTAGAAAAATTAAGCAGTTTATTAAAATATGCAACTGGAACGTCAAGACCATGTACGAAGCAGGCAAAATTTATAATGCGATCCATGAAATGGAAAGACTGAATATCGATATAATGTGCATCAGTGAAATGCGATGGCCTGATGCCGGAAAATGTCAAATAAACGAGCACGAAGTATACTACTCTAGAAATACAGAAGGTCAACATAAACATGGCATCGGAATAATTTTAAATAAACAAATAAATAAATACGTTACGAATTTTGTTCTAATATCCGAGAAAATCGTGTACATTCAATTGGATTTATTCCCAGCAAAAACCAACATAATCCAAATATACGCACCCACAGCAGACAAATCAGACGAAGTAATAGTTTTTATTACAATTTAAGGAAAGTCCTAAGTAAGTTAAAAACTAATAGAGAGAGAGAGAGAGAGAGAGAGAGAGAGAGAGAGAGAGAGAGCGCGAGAGAGCGAGCGAGAGAGAGAGAGAGAGAGAGAGCGCAGAGAGCGAGAGAGAGAGCGAGAGAGAGAGCGAGAGAGCGAGAGCGAGAGCGAGAGAGAGCGAGAGAGACGAGAGAGAGAGAGCGAGAGAGCGAGCGGAGAGAGGAGCGAGCGGAGAGAGAGAGAGAGAGAGAGAGAGAGTTTATACCAATCACCAATACACTTTATAAGAACTTAGAAAACATTGAAAAGGAAATATTGCCTTGTCTATTGCCTACTAATTGTATTATTCTATTGATCTACTAATTGCCAATAGAACTTTATCAAAGTAATTTGATAACTACAAGTTGGAAAATAATTGCACACCCACACAATTTTTACATCTAAACTTATTCATTGTCATAAAACTGTCACCTTCATAAAACAATTACTCAATAAATAACACACATTT